GCGAAGCAGAACCCCTCACAAGGCTAAAACCGCAGCCCAGCACAAAGCCAACCGTGAGACCCAAAACCAAACCATTAGAGCAAGGTGAAACCGAGCCCAGCAGGGGCCAAAACTAAGCCCAAGATCAAAATAGGACATAGCTCTGCAGGCATTCAAAACTGCGGTCATGTAAATCCCCAAGGTGATTCATTAAAACAGAATAAAATCGAGCCATTACAAGGCAAAACCGGGCCATCCAAAGGCTAAAGAAAAGTCCTCATGCCTTTAAAACATCAGTATATGGAGCCAAGATAGGTTTTTAAACTATAACATTAATATAGAAAGTATTTTAGGCCACCAATTGTTCTAAGCATGAATCAACTTCCCTCAAACATCCAAGCATGAAAGATGTCCCCCCCTCGAGGGGTTAAACCAAACTATTAAAGCAAACTATAGAACCTTTCCCAAATCAAAGTGAACTTCTTCATAACATGCATTTTAAGCAAAAGAAAGTCATAAGATGCCAAAACCGAGCCCCCAACATATATGAAGGGTCAAATAAACTCTCCAACATCTCATGCTAAATTAGAACAAATGAGGAGTTTCATGATACATATCCCAACATGTTTGAGAGAGGAGTCAACATTATCTCAAAGCCACATTTTAACATTTCTGATTTGCTTGAACAAAAAGAAAAGAGAGGAGCCAAAAAAATGCTATACTTTCACCATTTTAAGCAAGTAATCAAATCTAACTCCTAAAACATGCTTATATTTCTATCTTTCACATGTTGAGGTGACAAATATTTCAAAATATAGGCGCAACACTAGGCTAGCATGTCATATCAGCCACAACACCAAGCTCAAGGATTCGACAGAGAGAAAACCGAAAAGGAGTAAAGCAAAACGGGGGAGGGGAGAGTTAGGAGGTACCTCCGTGAAGTAAAAGCCAAAAAAAAAAAACAATTTTCAAGAGCACTTCACCACTTTCAATCTTCCCTCAACAGCAAGGGTAAAGCCACTCCAAGCCTAAAAAAGTTAGAGATGAAGGATGAGAAAAGAAAATGACAGAGTTTTCCCTTCCCTTAGACAATTTTCGGCCCCCTGAAACGCACCAACGAAAGCCTCATATAGACCAAAGAACAGGAGAAGGAATGATTAGGAGATCGTATATGATTCGAAGGATTGAGAGGAGCAAACGCCCCCATCCGGGCGTGCGAGAGGCAGAGGATGAGATACGATAAGGGATGGGTCGCAGGATCGTCCCACGTGCGCGAGGCGAGCGTGGGAACCAGACTCCAACAGCACGAAGGATCGGGCCAGGTGGAACCGAGCGAGCCGAAGCTAGGGCAGAGGTCCACAGGGTCGAGACTCAGCAGAGGGGAGGGGGAGATAATGAAATTATGTTAAGATTTAATATAAGGTATTAATTATAATTATAATAATAATAATATATTGTTTATTATTATAATATCACTTAAATGTGTATTTTTCCCCAGACGTGTCGTTGCGGTGAAATGAACGTCCCCTTTAGGCAAAATCGACGTTCCGTACGCGTCGGCGCAGTCTGTTTTGTCATCCGGAGTCGTTTAGGCAACCCCGTCGACGATTGGGACAAAACGCGTCGCGATCCAAATCACGTCAAAAATTTGGCTCGAGCTTAATCAAATAAGGCGACGAAGAGCGCGATAGTGGCAAATTAACGTGTACAGTCAATCCTAAGACCAACAGTCCTATAGAGACTCTCCTTGAGTTCCTCCATAATAGTATTACCTACTAAGTAATAGCGGTCAAAACTACCATGCGGAGCGTCAAGTTGAGCAAAGTAAATCTCAGAATTTCTAACGGGGAGGCTTCTTTGCTAGTTTTCTATGAGTAGTCGACAGGGAAGTCATACGGCTAGACCCTAGGCTATTAAATAGGAGAAAAACTACACCTTCGCCAAAAGTGAGGTCAACAATAATGAGCTAGCAATTACAAATATTTTCATTTAACTTGATGTTTAGTTCCTATATTGTTCGATCAATTAGCTATACTATTGATAGAATTTTTACTTTTGATTGTCTTAAGATGTGCAAAGACCACATGGATTTAATCCTCGACACTATTTATTCTCCCTATGATGATAAGGAAAACATATTCATGTAAATAAAATTCTATTATGCTAGCACAAAATGATCTCATCATTGCATTTTGAGTGAGGATTTCATTAATATCCTGTCTATTTAGAAGATCTAATAGTTATAAACCTCCATCATTTTTCTTGGTCTGGTCAGATATTTGATTTGATCGATTGCCATAGGTAGTAGATTTACAAGGTTTAATAATAAGGAGGATGAAGTGTTTCTCAAATTGGATGATCACGACCTCTAAATTGGTTTATGTTTTCAATGACTAAAATTGATCGTTCAAGCAGAAGCACCCTATGGCAAGATCAATCACATTACCACAAACTTTAAGCCTACTACTTGCTTTACCTATATTGTCCAACTTCTTATGTCCCTTAGTACTTCAACATTGTTTCTTAGTGCTTGTTTTGGCATCCTTCCATCATATTTTAACTATCAACCATGTTTATAAGCATACATAATGCAATTATGCAAGCACGTACATACATTGTCAACAAATAACTACATAGCAGAGCCGTCAACTCAGAGCTTTCAAATTATTTCATCCTCTTGAAGAAGCTCATGCACATCCCAAAGAAAGACTTAACATAAGCCTAAAAAGTAACAGCATTAGTGACTAAAGTGATATTGATAACCCTCTAAAAATAAATACAATCCTAACCGATAATAGTTCAAAAACTCAAGCTAGAGATTCGTTTAACTTAAGATGAGAGAAAAGATATGCATGTTTCATGTTCATGGCTATCACATTTTGCCATAAGGAAGTTTAATAAACATCAAGCTTATGATAAAAGTCACAAAAAACGACCATAACAATAGAGTTGTAAATTTAGCTCTAAGATCAAGAATTGCTTTAAAATCGTATCATTTCTTTAGCATGGATGAAGCTTGAATCGTAATTAAAGGACAACTAATGACCTTGTCCTAATCTAATTGAATTTTATTGAGTCAAGTTTGGGTCAAATTGAGCTAGATAAAGTTTTAATCAAAATGCCTATGCATGCAAGACGATATGTATAGATACATTCATGTGTTATTTTAAACATGCATTTATGCATCTATAGATATGCCCATGTATGTATATTTGATTCATGCATTTATGCACCTATAAATGTTATAGATGCATGGTTATAGGTACATATCAATATCAAAACAGCATTTAAATGGAATAAACTTCAACAGACCAAACCTTGCTCAACTCAATATTAGATCAAATATGACATGGCTAGGCTTAGCTTCACTTAGCATTGGAAAAATTTGATTTGAACTAATTTTAATGAGTGGTTGGATCAGCTTGTGATCAAATCATCAACAACAATCTGTGAGAATGATGGCTCCATGTTTTAAGGCTTGCGGGTGAGATTACAAGTCAACTCTAAAGAAGCAAACAATCAAGCATTCAAAGTGCATAGAAATGCTTTTATGTGAGACTAGTGAAACTAATAGAGAAAAACAACAAAGTCAATTTTGTGTGCAATACAAATTAAACATGTCAAATGTCAAAAACTTTCCCTTTGAGTGCAATAATGAAACCTTTTCATCTGCCAGAATCACTAGTTTCATGAGCATCTAAAGCTTTTGTTGAGGTAAAAAAATCCTAGTGAGCCTGTTATAAAATTTCAAAGAAAACACATAAGGGTTCAAATAATGCAGATTTAAAAAGAAGTTGACGTAGGCAGTGCAACTCATGCACTATGGAATGATTGTTTCCAATATTTGAACCTGCAACCTTTATGCATGTCTCGACGAAGGAAAACTAAAGCCTGCATTCTAAGCATGTTATATGCTGCTAACTACAAAATCAATGCTTCAGAAAAACATTGAAAATTCAACTTCCTATCCACATTTAAACAATTTTGAACGCGCGCTGAATTGGAATTACATCAAGGGGCACTGCTTCAAGCATAACATGACTAGTAGAACATGAATGGCTTCAAAAACAAAGTGAAACTGGATGAAGCCAAACACCATGCTACCAAATAATTACAGTATCTCCAAGAGTGCGCATGGTTAGTAATAGATCGTAGAAGCGTATTAGCGGAAAAAGAAGATAAGCGAATCAAGTCAACCTTAAGACACATAGCACAAGTAAGTGAAAAAGAATGCTTTCAGTTGCGAACTCTTACAGACTTAGGACGCAATGGGTGACTTCCCGGCCCTTGTCAAGGCATTTTTCCGGGTTGGGATCCTTCTTTTTACACTTGATAAAAGCCATGTTCTCAGCTCGGCATTTAACGGCGATGTGCTTCGACGCCGCCATAAGAACTGATGATGTGGGGATTGGCTTTCCCGAGTGATCGACGGTGGTGCTCGGCATCTGAGATTGCCCATTAACCGCGGTAAAAAGAATCCTGGGGTTATAGATGACAGAGTACAAGGCAGATCGAGGTCAGCATTTGGGTTTTGGATTATACCTAGATCTGGAGATCCTTTTCCCAAGAAACAATTGGGGTGGGCTGAAAATGGAGCAGGCTGAGACAGCTCGGTTTCTTCTCCGCCGGCGATGAGAGCTGAAGGAGATGCCCCGGAGCCTTTTGTCGATTAAAGCCCAGCGGTCTGGATCAGTATCGAGTTAACTTCACCCAAATGACGCAATTTGAACCGCTGGAAATGTAGGGCTGGCTGGGGTCTAGTTTGGGCAGCTAAGTGTAAATAATGAGAGTTTATCAGAATAAATTAGTTTGTTATTTGGGGAGCTTATCTAGAACAGCTTATTGGCAGTTGTTGTCGGATAAACGATCATTTTGCTATTTTTAGTGAAGTTGTTTGCAATACAAACTGTATGAGCACCGAAATAGATAAAATGAAGCCGCAAACCATTACAGATCAGTTCAAAAGATAACATAGAGTGTTCACACTTTTCTAAGTATCATAGAGTGTTCACACTTTCCTAAGTATCAAAAGAAATAAAATAAAGATAAATATAATTACAACTATAATTAGAAATATTAGAATGTTTAATTTAACACTCTGACGACGTCTGTCCTCAACTGCACTATCATCCTGGGAAACCATCCTACCATGATCAATATTGACAGTGCAAAAAAGCCCTTGCAACAACCGTATAACTGCTCTCACTGCTGTGAGGCTGGCATGACGTGAGTAACGGAGTCGGTAGTTCGTGGTAACACAAGGCAACTTCGTAGGTCCATGAAATCATATAACTCATATTGTTATAGCTGCCCAAAAACAAAAAAAAAGAAACCAATAATTGTCAGATCCAAAAATTAAATTTTATGTATAGCTAAAGAAAACCAAATTAAATAAAAATTGTATCGAACTAAAAAAATTTAAAAAAACACGAGTGTCCGGTCTCAGACAACTAAGTACACCAACCCAAGCGTCTGTCACTGCAATGAGACAGTCTTGGTTGCCTTTAACCCACATGAAGGATCGTACTGGGTTACATGTTCTTATCACAAAAATAAGACATCAAGTAGATCCTCATATACTGCAGCACTGAAAAGAAAAGAGGACCTAGATTGCCTTCTTTAGGATTTCACATGCAATACCAACAGGATACGTTTGTCCTGTGTCATATGTGTATATACCAAGCTGACAAAGCCAAGGTTCGTGATCGGGTGATCCAGGGTTGGGGTGAGACAGCTCAAACATAATGAGAGTGATGCTTGCGCATTCAATAATGAATAAGAATCTCATACCAACCGTAAATCGTTAGATAATAATAACCGTTTAAGGTCCTATTCAACAATTCTTTTGATGAAATTTTCTTTCATTTGAAATAATGTAACGGTTCCCCTCTAAGTGAAGGGGGTGGATTATGATAAATAGGAGGGATTGTACGAAATAAATGGGAGTCAAATATTGGAGAATCTCTATTTTTTTCTCCTATAATTTCTCTTTTCTCTGTGTTTGTTCTATCTTCTGAGTGTGATTCCAGGATAACTTGAATTCAACGAAAACATTGAGAATTTCATAAAATGGAAAATATGGGTTGAGGTTTCATTGCTAGTTGATGTTTGAGTGAAAATTAAAAAAATAAATTAAATAGGGTGTTGGTTTTCTAAATAGCAAAATATAAAGCACCACATATGACATTTAATTTTATTTTATTGTTTTGTGTTATATATATAGCAATAAATAGGGTGTTGGTTTTCTATATATATATATAGAAAACCAACACCCTATGAAATTTTTTATAATTTTTTTTTTTTAAATGTTAAAATATAAAATATAACATATGCACATGCATCCCAATAGAGAGATGACCAAATCAATCGTCCAAAAAGTTCAAATAGAATTTATATACATATCACCCAATTCACATGTATTTCCATCTCTAACATCTAATTTTTTTTATATTTGCATTGCTTAGAATTTTCATATTACATAAAAATATCACCATTTTTAATGTATGTCTGGAGGTTCATGGTGAAAAAGTAATGAATTAGCATCTTGGTGTTAAACAAAAACTCGTTGCACACTTGAGTAATTAAAGAGAAGCAAACAAAAGAAGAAGTCTCATTTTTTATGTAAACAACTTTGTCAAGGGAAAAATCCTACGGAGTCTGACATGGTTGAAATAATTCACAATAAATTATGAGTACACAGATCAACTTTTCTCCTGAATTTGGAGAGATTGAGTTATAAAGTCGATCATTATAAATGTACAACAATTGTTCATTAAAAATAGTTGTCTGGTTGTAATTAATATGATTCTTGGTGATAAAATGCTGCAAGGGTCGGAATCCATTGCAGTGAAGGAAACAGTCCACCGTGAATGTTGCAAACAAAAGTAGTGTAAGTTTGTCATATAAGTCTTAGTGGAAGACATTGTAGCAAATGGATATGTGGGCAGAGGATGGTTGCATCTATAGCGTCGATCGATCATAAAGATCGTAGTTGGAAGCTACAAGAGTGTGAGCCACGTAGGCCATAACTAGTCACATACGTTTGAGTGATAAGATGTAATAACATATGTAGGCCGCAATAGCTGAAGTTGAGAGTTGCATTAGTTATACCCATGTAGACTGTAATGTTGAGATATGATGATTCTTGTAGGTTGAAGGGCCGAAGTTGAGTGCTACATTTGCAGACCATGTATGTTGTATAGGTGAGTTGTGATGGTGTTCATAGGTTGTATGGGTTGGAGTTGGGAGTTGCACAAGATGTGAGCCACATAATTTGTAGTTGGTCACATAGTTCATAATGATGAGTTGTGTTGATGTTCATGGGCTGTGAAACCGAAGTCGGGAGATGTACGAGTTGTGGGTCACACACGCCCTATTTGGTCACGTATGGCGTAATGATGAATTGTGATAATGTCCGCGGACCACAGGGCATGGAGTATGAAGATGCATGATTTGTGAGTCACATACGTCTTGGCGGTGAGTTGTGATAATGCTAGTGGACCATGAGAGTTGGAGTCGAGAGTCGCACTAATTGTGAACCACCTAAACTGTAGTTGGTCTTGCAGGTCGTAGTGGCGCGTCATGATGACATCCTTATGCCGCAGCGGCGGGATTTAATGTTTCAAGGAGGGAGCTTTAGGATTCAAGAGAAAGTCATCGTCTTCAGGTCGCATTGTTGCAATATTTTATAGAGATATCACTACATTATATGCAAGGCTTCGTTGCATGATCATCGAGGTGCATAGTAGCGCCATATATGAGATGTATTGTTACACTATCTTCAGAATGTGTCATTATATCGTATTTGAGTGCATTGTCATGTCACCTACGGGGTGCTTCACCATCATACAACGTGTATTGGGATTTCACAGCACATATTGTAACTTCAAAAGGGACTTCATTGAAAAAAGCAGGCGACAGCCGATGATGGCCATGTGTGGGGGGCAAATGGTTGTTGGAGTTGGTCTGTGGGCGGTAGTCGAATTTGGGCACAGGCAGCGTTAGCCAGAGTTGGTCGTAGGGGGTTGCACCCCGGAGTTTTTTGGGGCGGTGGTGATTAAAGCGGGCTAGAGCAGGCAAAGATGTTAGCCGAAGTTGGAGGCAATCAGAGTTGGCAGAAGTGCAACAACGATAATATCGTTTAGAGGCAACAAAGATAGTCGAATGCGACAAAGTGTATTGTTGACTTGGGACAGTGGTCTGGGTTGGTCGAAGACGACAATCAGACCTAGCCAGGTGACCGACAAAGTAGTGTTTGATGGTGATCGGCGACCACAAGCACATGTCTTCGCTAGATCATCAGTGTGTGATCTGAGGCATTAGCTCCCTCTTATGTGACCTCTAATCTTTCTCTTGCCCAGAGTCTAGTCCCCCTCTTAAAAGGGGGAAATATTTGCTCACGTAATACACACACTACTCTGCGTGTGTGCTCCATTAACCCCGCAATACATTCATAATAACCTATGAATAACATCGAAATAGAGCCCACAAAAGTTATTGGAAGGTTATTAGGGTTATAGATTATTAGAATTAATACTCAATAACCTCCCAACAACCCCCTAATAACCATTAAGCATAAATTATTGCATGGTTATTACGCACACAGCTCTGCGTGCGTATCATGTACACAAATATTTCTCCTTAAAAGGGGCAGAGCTCAATTTGAAGAACCCAAATTATAAATATGAAAGGAAGACATACAACTTTTGCTCAAATTCCTCAAAAAGAAACCTTTCATCCGATAACATTCAATTGACATTTTAGTGTCTTAATGATGTCAAATTGAGCGATATTGGCCATGTTGGGACACTCAATTTAATTGTAAGTTTGCCACATTTAGAATAAATTTGAATTCCAATTATGCCTGGAAAAATCATTGAAAAGTGGTTTAATAGCATGATATAGACTTGACAACTCGCTTGAACCGAAGATGCTATCGTTGAGTTCGCCTCGTCGAGCAGGTCAGTTTGAATATAAGTTTGTTAAAATCAATGTTTCAAAAGATTTTCAAATATTTACAACTAAAAAAATTACGTCGAGATCGTGTTATATTTCAGGATTTATGCTGGATGATAGACATTTGTTCATTGCATATAGTTTTAAATATTAAAAAAAAATTAAGTATACTTTTTAATCAATCGGATGGCATATATAAAATTTAAAATTTAACAGATGTATGTAAATACATAGAAGCGTAGTGGCATGTATATAAATTTTATAAATTTCAAATTTTTTTCAAGCAGTCGGATCGGGCCGTGCTTTTGGACAACAGGTGCCTGGTCAGGCTGCCAGCATAACCCTTCTTAGCCCTCCACACGGTGCTCCCCCAGGGTTACCCCTCCATTCTCCGTTTCCCCTCTCCGAAGTCAGGCGACGCCGAGGGAGGAACGAGAGCTTTCACCTCCGCGATAGAATCGAAGGAGACGAAGAAGAAACGTGCGGGAAGAGGAAGGACGAGAAGGCTGATAGATCTATTGATAGCCGGATCTAGATCCGGCGATCCTGAGGGGAAACGATGGGGGATTTCAACTTGGCGCTTGTGATTGTAGCGGTTATAGTATGCGTGCTTGTTCTGCTCTTCAATGTTTATTTGCTGGTGAACTACCAGCATCCCGACGACAGGAATCAAGCCTACTTCCCTAAAGTAATCGTCGTCCTCGGTCTCTCCATCGCCGTCATCTCGATATTGATGCTGCCCGCTGATGTCGCCAACCGGCAAGCCTGCCGCCATGCCATTTATAACGGCGCCTGCAACCTGACGCTTCCGATGAAGACGCTCTGGCTCGTCGTTTACATCACAGACGCTGTCCTCGTTTTTTTCTTCATCCCCTTTGCTATGTTCTACTACGAGGGCGACATGGACAAGTTGTTTCTTTCATGACTCACTTCTATTTCGTCCTTATTTTCTTCCAGCCTTTTTCTTTGCTCATTAGTTGGGTTGTTTTTGACAGGAGCGTGGGGAAAAGGTTATGCAGCGCGATGTTGTGGGTCGCCGCTTCCGTTGTTGTTTGTGCGCTTGCGGTTGGGATACTTTACGGTTATGTTCCTGGACTCTTCCTTTGTAATTGAGATTTGGGGTCATTTGGTTGCTTGCAGATGGAGAACATGTTATAGGAAGTGATGTTTTTGGTTTTATTTACTTTTAAATCCCTTAATTTGGGGAAATTTATTCTGATTTATGACTACATTTCTGACGATGGAATATAAAAAATCCATCTTTTCTCAGGACATGTTTTCTGGCTTCTCACAGCCAAATGAACTAGGTCCAACAAGATTTTCTTATTTCTCCATGCTCAAATTTAAGCGCATCATTCATTTATGAGAAATGCATGATGTTTAAAATTGCAAAAATGTGTAATTTTTTTGAATTTTCTCCTAAATCCATGTGAGTGTGACTTAGCATTTGGGTAACTTCGTCAAAGGACTTGAACCCAGTGAAAACAATATGAGACAGTTTAAGCAGTTAAGGTGAAGCTTTGTTTTTAGCGCGGTGAACGGCTGGGGAGAGATTTGAAGCATTACAATTTCTGTTCTCTAACTAAAGCAATTTGTTTATTACAGGATTTTCCCTGATTATACCATTATTTTCCTTACAATGCCTTGTTATTGATTTATAATCTTTGTTGGATTACTTAGTTATCTGGTATTTCTATTCATAATCATTTTGCAGCCATTTGGCTTCAACATTATGGATTTTTTCCTAGTGACAAACCATTTTCGTCAGGGTGCTTTTGAGCTATTTATTTAAGCAAGTTTTTGCATCTCTCCTTCACAAACAAAGCTCTCATGTGTCATGATATAGAAGGCTTCAATGTATTCCATTCCAAAATTTACATTATTTTAAGTAGTTTGTCTTAAAACATTGATTACACATCGAAGGGGTGTCTGCTCGTTGTTCCCACCATGATTGGTTGCATTTTTCAGCGTCTTATTTTCTTGTCATGTAGATAGGCTGTGAACAATTTATTTGTTTTCTATCAAATGTTGTCTTCTTCATCTTCAACTTAACAATGATTAAAATTGGAGTCTAAGCTTCATTGAATTTTGTTTGTAATGTTTTTATATTTTGTGGCCATAGATGTAGCATTCTTGATTTCGTGCCTTTCTGATTGTTCAGCACACTCTTAGTCAGCCCATTATCCATTTGTCATCCGACTATTTATTATTAGGAGCATTTACATACATAGCACCCAATTCTTATGTATTTACATATCTCACACCTAAAATTTCATATTTTGTGATGGATGCTAAGAATTTATTTTGTGACGAACAATTCTTTTCCCTCTTCTAAAGATTGGAACATGATCTTTGAGAACTCCACACTATATTTTCTTTCTTAATAATAGTACTGATTGGTCTATCTTACATGATAAGCTATATTATTCTTGGGAATTTCATTTTATATATGCTTATATTCATATTTGATTTTTTCATATTTTTCCTGTAGTTATTTAGAATTATTCACTGTCAATTGCTAAACACTACCTCGATTTAGCTAGTCATTCATAAATGTTATTTACTCTAAGAATGTCAATGATTCAAATGTTATTGATATTTTCTTTCTTATAATCCTTCTTGTTTTGGATGGATGGAACCTCTTTTCTCTTTTAATGACATTACTTTTATGGCATCAGGGATAGTAGGCAAAGTTGACTTCAGTGTTAGGCACCTCTCTTCCGCTGCAACAAGTTTTCCATCTTCTTGGACAGAATTCTCCCGCAGCCAACCTTGCATTGGTTCTTCCGCTCGTCAGGTGTCTTACGCTACTTGGTGTAGATTTGGAGCTTTTCCGGGAATTATAGTCCCATTTATATGTTTTGAAAAGATCATTCTGTAGCTCTTACTCAGGACATGAATTAGAAGTAGATGAAGTGTCAGCTTATTTTGGAGAGTTCTTAATTACATGGATATTTTGCTGGCACCTGTATTTTTTCTGATATTATAATTAATTGGTTTTCCAGAAATTTACATACATAGCACACAATTCTTATGTATTTACATATCTTACACCTAAACTTTCATATTTACATACTTGGCACTTTGTTGCTTTAAACATTTGCATGAAAATGTGTATTTCTTTTTTAAAAGTGGTAATGCTATTTTTGACGTGATATTAAAGATTTGAGTGCTATGTGTGTGTAAGTATGAAAGTCTAGGTGTGAGGTATGTAAGTACATAAGAATTGTGTGCTATGTATGCCATTAGTTTTTTTCATCCAACTAATTACTTTATTCTATCCTCTGTTGTGAGTAGTGTGATGCATACCTGGCTAGTCCTTCTTCAGAATCAACGTGGACGATGCGAGCTAGCTTTCCAGAATATGTGGTCGCTCTTGCAACTATTGTTGGATCTGTTCTTTTCACGGTGTGTTTTAAACCTAAAATACTTGATATTATGTTTATTAATATTATTTTGGTCACATATTCTTAATACCCCTAAAAGGTGTCAATGATTTTGTCTTGTAGTAAGTTTTTATTTAGCTTTAAAGGTTTTTAGATGCTTTTCTTTGCCCGTGTACAAATTTCAGCTTTGTTCCTCTGTCTATAACATTTTAAGAACTACAAAGTGGAATTTTTTTTCTTTCACGTTAGATATTTGGAGGTGTTGGGATTGCTTGCCTTCCACTAGGCCTTATATTTTCATTTGTCAGGCGTCCCAAAGCGGTTATCACTCGTTCACAATACATTAAGGTTTGTAATGTGATTATTTTAATCTTTTGGAAGTATTCTTTTCTTTTATTATTCTTTTTTATCAACTCATAGATATGCTGGTATCTTATTTACTGTTTTGTCGGAATTAATACAGGAGGCAACTGAATTAGGAAAAAAAGCTAGAGAACTAAAGAAAGCAGCTGAGGCCCTTCGTGAGGAAGAGAGAAGTGGGTCCAAGGGAAGAAAATGGCGTAAAAATGTTAAGACAGTTGAGAAGGTATTTACACTGTCATTATCTATATCTTCATCAAAGTTTCAATTTTTTTTTTAAATTTAAGTTTCTATACATGGTATCAGGTAATTCTCAGAGGTAATCCATTGAATTGACTTTTAGAGATTACATTTTCCTCCCTTAATTTATTATTTGAAATTTACTTGAGAATTGAGCTAGGTCAGCTTGTAGGCCATAGGAGGAGATGTTTTTGTTCTTAAATGTTGTTTTGCACTTTCATTATCATTTTGGGTTACACTGTTATTAGTGGTATGGTAACCGAAGCATCATAAATAAGTTTCTTTCGAGTACTTTGGTCACAAGTTAGTTATTGACATAGAGGTGTTTTATGTATCCAGTTTCCTGTCCAGATATCTGGAACCCGGCGAAGCACATCAGGTTCTGAATTTGAAACTATATCAAGTTAGATTATTGGAGTGGTTTGGTTTTGGTTTTGGTTTTGGTTTTGAAGTGAATATATTCATCACCAATTACTCTATCCAACTCTTGGTGATTTGTTCCGTTAGTTTTAATGTGTCTTTTATGACTATTTATCAACCTAGTATCAACCCTCAATATTTTCTTTTAGACTCGGGACTAACAACAATAATTCTGAACTGAATATAGCTTTAGTTGTTATGGGTGATTGGCTGCATAGGTCTTACATTATAGGTGAAAACATGCTTGTGCAAATATCAAATCTGGAGCATATGCACATGGGCATGCTGTTTTCTTTTCGGCATAAGCTTGTTAGTTTTTTATTTTGTGAATTTTATAAATCTCCAGCGGCCAAATGACCAAATTTTCTCTTAAAGCTAATCTGGAAACCTACAAAATGACAAAAAGGCCCATCAAACTAACATCTTTGTTAATCTAAGTAATTTATTTGATTCTGCTTCATGCTAAATCTACTTTCCAGAAAAATCAGCAGGTATAATTTCTGACTTGATGAATGATTCTGGATATTTTTTAATTACTGAACAAATCTCATCTAGTATTCGCTATTATATGTTGTAAGTAACTCTTTGGTTAGCTTAGTTTATTCGTTTGCAATATTTATCTACTTAATTTGAGCTGTATGATTCATTTTTTCACCACTTGATACATTGCAAGACTTTGTTTAAATTATTAACCCCCTCCGCTCCTATTAAGCTTAACCGATGTTAGTGCTTTATTTTAAACTTCTGCAGCCTATTTTCTGTTAACTTTGCATTTGGATTGATATGTTTTAATAACATTCATGATTAGCAGAACATCACTCCATTATGGGCCAGTCCAGAAAGAAATATAGTATCCCAGCTTTTCTTTGTTGTCTTTATTTTTGGTTGCCTTGTTTTTGATTGTAGATGTGAAGGTGTATTTATAACAATTTTTGTTTTTTTTAATATCGATCCCTTTTGATTTTCCTTATGACTTCATTCCACATCTTCTACTAGCTTTTAATTTTGCTAAGAGCCTTTATGCTTGACATGCATGCTTGAAGCTTCTTAGCTAAGAGTTCAATACTATTTTTGTTTGCAATTCCAAATATACATATACATATATATATATA